TGTTCACGTATTGAACTACCAGCGCACGGCTCCAGCGAGCTACCTTCTGTCCTGTGACGGAAGACTTGCGACAAAACCGCATTTTGATCGACACGGTAGTAGCAATTATGGCGCTACCTTTTTAATTGCGTACAGTACCCGGCACGCACTAGGCGGCAGGTACTGTACTACTGTACTGGGACAGGTGTCCGAGGCGTCCCTCTGCGGGGTTAAGACCTGGCACCCGTCCCCACCAGTACACGGGGGCAAGCTCGCCCCCGTCCCTTTTGCGCCTACCTACCTCCGTTTTCGGTTGTCTGTCGCGCGCGCTGGCTTCTAACCCGTTACCGGTCGCTCCCGTTCACGCACCACGGGGCGACTGCGCGTAACCGGCCAGTGAGCCACTCCCTTTTCGCGAGCTCGTCCGGTCGGTTCAATTAGCGCGTCGCGTCCGCGCCGCGTTCTCTCTCGCTAAAGCCTCCGCCTCTCACCCAACCCAGGGCGGAGAGGAGTTATCCCACAGATGCGTTAATGGTGACGAAGCTTACGAGAGGTTCTTCACGTGTATCATCGCAAAAAGATGGCAATGGGATTATCCGTTCGAGCTTCTCTATGTATTTAGTTACGAGCATGCAAGCGGGAGACAATGTTGCGCTATTTGGAGTCTCGGAGGTCCGCCACGGGGAAATGGAGCTCCTTTGCGGCATAGAAATGCGAGCAATGAGGATCACCAGACGAGTAGCAGCTACCCAGTCAATAGATGGCCGCGAAGCGTTGATAAATGTGGGCGACGAAGTACTGGTCGCAAAAGGGACTGCCAGAGAAATCGTGCAGAAACGGTAAATCGCCTTGTCAAAGTTTGTCGCCTAGAAGAGTTATTCGGCCGTGCGACCCTCGTAATACTCTCGCGTCGCAGCACCAACGGTACTCCAGAAGAGATATACACACCAGAAGGTTGGTTCTCTACAAAAGACGCCCGGTGAGCATTCAGTAAGATAGATGACTACCATATGTAATCCTTGATTTGAATGAGACATATCTGGGAGATCAGCCGACCTCTCAGATGGAGCACAGGACGCGGGTGCCCTTCAAAGCAAGCGTTTTCTGGGTTATCTCGAGCCATATGCCTTTTGTTGTCTGCTTGGTCCTAGAAATACCCAGTAAAGGGGAACTGGAGAAGGTACACGGATATTGAATTGAAACCTCATCTGCGCTCCTCTCGATTCGGACTAAACGAGGCAGAAATGAAGGCAACGAAAGAATGGTGAAGGACGGGACGTCTAATCATCTCAACGGCGTTGAGATGAAGTAATGTGGGCGCCGCCGTAGCGTCAATGTGATGAGGACGAGGAAGACGAAACAAGAAAGTTAGACGACAGTAAACGTTCCAGGCCAGGAGTGTTGCCCGGTTTCTGGAAAGTCACCGGGCCTGAGTCGATATACTCGAAAATTAAAATCACGGACCCGTGGCCCAACCTGGGCAGAGAGTCGTGTGACGTTTCCCCCTACCGAGTGAAAGAAATTACAAATTTACTGAAATACTTGTAGACATTTGCTGGACTAGTTGCCCAGAGATTATAAAAGCCGTTGCTGCGGTATCTCTCTTATGGGGGACGCCAGACAGCAGACGGCAGCTAACGGCAGTTTAACAAGAAATCAACCACACCCCTTTTATACCAAATAGAAGGGACAACAGTTTATCACTCTTTGCGTCTAGAATTATGCAATGCGTATTACAGGTTGCCACTTGAACATAACCTTTGCCTCATGGCATTTTCATCTCGCGTCCATCAACTCCTTAATATATTCTTTCATGTTATACACCTCACACGTTACCTCTAACAGTCGGTCCATTGCATCGAGTGCCCCATGTGTCTGTAACACGTGCAACCAGATCTTTGTTATGCATAAAGAACATTGCGGGAGCAATTCTGAAACAGCGCCAAAATTTGTTTCGGAAGTAAAGAGGAGGGGTGGTATGATAGTCTCTAATCCAAGTACTCACGGGCGGCGGTGATTTGTGGCTCCTGAACGACGACCGCACGCCAGAACTATTTAGTGGATCTTCTACAACATCAACGGCCGTTGCGGCAACTGCAGTGATAGCGGAATGTCGATTTTAAATATAATCTGAGCAATGGAAAGCATTTTGGAGCGTCTTCGACCTTCGGAAGGACAAACCATGTTGTGGTGTATCCTAGCCGCGACGGAGTGGCTTCTACCACCTTTATTCGTCTCAGAAACAATGGTGTATCAGGGGATTTTTTATTGGGCAGAATCGGGTACGAGCTGGAGTATGAGGTACAGTTACAGTAGTTGGTTACATCGGAACTGCTGGGGCTGCCAAAGATAGTTTCTAAATCGTGGTCTATAGTATAGACGACATATTCGAAAGTATAGACTCTATACTTTCGAATATGTGGTGTATATTATACCCACTTTCTTTTTTTGAGTTTCTGCGATATGGTCAAGCGCTTGCAGGTCGCTTTTGGTGTTCGGTGGCCTGAGGGTCTCCTTTTTCAGGGTCTCCTTTTTCAGGGTCTCCTTTTTCAGGGTCTCCTTTAAGACAGCATGGACGGAGGAGGATCGGACTAAAAAGCGGCTTTTACACGTTTGACACGTACGGACGGCGGCATGACCCTATGATACGTGGCACTTTTTGGGCGTCTGGGCATGCAGTCGTGGGAGGGTGGCACAAATAGAAGCGGCACTAATGGATAGGGTATTTCTTGGATGCATCCATTGTACGCAGTTGAATGGACTGACGGGAGCATGCCGAAATACTTTCCATATTGTTTTTTTCATGGCCGGTCGTCCATTTACGAAAGCAGTCCAATCTTGATCCATCTGGGTACATTGCTACGTGCACGCAGAAGCAACAATCTGAGGTGGGCTAAGCTCCTTATACAGGGGAAGACTTGAGAAGAAGGCTGAACAGGCTGCAAGCGGAGAAGCTGGAGACACAAGAAGATCATGAATTCCTCAGTTTTGGTTTGGAGTCTATGACGGGCATCAGCTTCGTACCTGCACTGCAAAATCGGAGACTGTTCTAGGAAACTAATTCTTCAAACAGTGTTAACAGTACTGTGAATACATCAGTGCTGTTGATTAAGTCGAAACTCTGAGATTTGTGCAACTTCAAAAGGAAAAGACTAGATCTACGCACGGAACAAAACCATGAAGTTAAACGTTTTGCATATATGTCTAAAACCGTTACAGACACAGATAAATATGTGCTCATGCCCATATAAGAAAATAGGCAAAGAGAGAGTGACAAAAGCAGCACCAGCTTTTAGTAAGGCAACTGCAGAATTTATTGTAATAACGGCGGTATTGTAAGTGCGAAGAGGTGAAATTGTTCAGTTCCTCAATAAGCTACCGTGACAAACCTGATGTCAGATCAAAAAATCTTTGGAAGGACACCTACCGATATCGGTACAGAAAGCAAGGGTGATATCTTGCATGCTCATATTTAGGTCTTCAAAAGATGCTCAGACTAGTCCATTCGACTCAATTCTGTCAATCGGCTTGAGCAACGTCGGTAACTGTCGAAGCGCGGAGGTTCTTTGATTCTAAACAGAATCATAAGTTTGTTAAGCGGCACAAACGCCTGCGAACTGTATCTGCATTTTCAATTGCTGAGCGTTCCTGCGAAGTTCAGAAGTTGCGTTTCAGCAACTGGACCTAAAATAAACTTCACTGCAGAGATTTGGAAGTATACGTTTCCTTGGAAACTGTCCTCCCCAATGGCTATAGGTCTGCAAAAAATGTTGAATGCTTTTCAAACGAAAACCTACAAACATAGGCAAGACATTTTTTTGATTCATGCAGAGCCCACTGGATGTACTGCATGTATTTATCCATTTGATGATTGACAAAAGTCTGTGATCTAATGGTTAATTATATAAAGAGAGTGTGACGCGAATAGCATGCAAAGAAGAAAATAGATGAAGAATCTATGAAGCAATCCTTCGTCAGTGTGACTGGAGTGTGATTGGAAAGAATTCAGGGTAACCCCATAGCCACGTCATAAAATAATTGCGGGATACTGTGCAGTACTGTATGCCTACCGTACAATAGGAACAAAAACTGAAGCCCCAGTTATAGAAATTAGCCCATATAAGTTTCGGAAAACGACTCGTGCGCCATATTCTGTAACAAAAACAAACAAAGATGGTACAGTATTGCTGTCATGGATTGGCGAGTGACTGTGTGACTACGTCTCATCATACGTGTCCCGGTTGTGTCGTCCTCCTATGCGTCTAAGATATGTTTCCCCCCGCTAGGTATCGGTGGGGCCCGGGGGGGGGGGGGGGGGGGGGGGGATGGACACCCGAAGGAAATGTACGTGAACTCGCAGAGGGTTCAGCAACTGATCAAGGAGTTGAAAACAATTGGCGTGTATGAGAGTTGGAACGTTTTGCGCCAGACGGTAAATTACTGACAGACACGAGAATACCAAAGACTTCAGTTTCGACCTTGTTGAAAGCATCTAGGCGGCTTTCTTTAGAGTGTAAGGAGCATTACCTTGACCAATCCGCGCGAGAAGATCTCGGGGTGTGGACCTGGATATGAATAGCGGAAATAGAATAGCGGAGATACTGTATAATTTTTCCTCTCTTTGTGACCAGAAAAGCCACACTAAAAACAGTTCCGCACGACAAAGCCATGAATTGTCGCGCATCATCCTGCTGCATTTTGTGACTTGATAAAGGCGCGAATCTTGCAACATCATATAACCCCCTTTCACCATGAAGCAACTCTTGACATAAGAGTTTGCCTGAATGGAATATGAATGTGGCTGTTTCATGAGGTACAAGACGATCAAAAGAAGCGTAGAGAACCGTTGTTCACGAAGAGCTTGTCGATGAGATGGACTGCAACAAAGATGGAACTACAGTTGCGGTAAATTGAAACTTCGATACAAGAGAAACCCATGAAATGGTTCTTCCCATGTAGAGCCCGTGCCGTATGTGTAGTGGCCGGAGTGGAAGTCCGAGCACGCATTTTCAGTAGAATGGATGTACTCTTTCAACGAGTCCATTATACGGCAAGCCTCACGCGGTGGTGGAACCTTCCCAATGCGAGGGCAGACATTAATAGAGCACCCACGGAAATGTGTAATGTGTAAAGCCTGTATAGTCAAGCTGTCCACCATTCTTGATCAATATGGGGACGTAACCCCTTTTTTTCCAAAGTTCACCGCACATCCAAAAAAATGCATTATAAAAGAGAAATCCTTGTCGAGAGGCCGTATCCGAACAGGCAGTTATCTTCGATGTTTAGTCGAAGTTCTTTCACGGTCTTCCTCTGGGATGGAGCACAGCTATAATTATCTTACATCGGTGCTTTTCAAAACAGCCTGCGACAATATCAAATACGGTAGACGCAGTGCAGCACTCTTGACCAGAGGAATAAGGGCAGTCTAGCCAGAAAACTGGCAGGAAAATAGCGAGAAATCATGATCTTGGGGGCTTGGGACGGTTCCAATTTCTATTTTCAGGCGGGGTTTCCGGGCTGAAAAGCGGACGAATCAAAGTGAAGTATTTCCAGGGGCATTAGAGGGACGGGACATGTAAGCCTGGTCTTCAACAGGATACGAGGTGCTGATCCGCGAGTTACAGCAGACAGTTGGGAGGACAGGGACTATAAGGGTCGCTGTACATGCATGAGAACGGGTGTCGAGAAAGACCTATATTCTGCTGATGGGAAGCGTCTTCGATAGATAGTAGACGCCTGTCTGCCAGTATCAGCGTCGAACTTGCGGAATAATCACGGCTTGTTCAGGGCTTCATCGAGATGCGAGAGCCAAATCAAAGGCTCGCTGCGAGAGAAGAACGTGACCGTGAGAGATTAGCATTGTGTTAGCCAGCGGACGATGCGGTGATGATGTTTTCCCGTGAAGCTTGTGCAGATTGCAGCCGAAGCAGGCAAAGAGTAGGACAGAGACCAGTGTTTTGGCCAAAACCGAGAGAAGACGGAGGCTGCAGAAAGGTCGAGTGAGCGGGGACTGGGGGGTGAAGGAGAGAAGTGGTCGCGATTGCATTTGGTTAATAGAGGGGGTTTTAAAGCGACCGGATAAAAGGAGACGAGAGAGCTGCATGTCACGCAGGAGGGACACCTTACGGAGCTTATGAATTAATTAAAAATACTTGGGACCTGCAGCGCGTGTCGTGTCACACTCGACATCCCCATTCACCAGAGCCTCGAGAGCGCGCCGTTGGTGCTATTGGCAACCGTCTCCGGCTGCCTTGGTCCCCTGAAGAGGCGTGTGGAGCATGGTCTTCCTATGTGCAACCGTATGCCTCCCGCTCCCCTTTCTGAGTCTCTCTACCGCTGGAGATCGCTTTAAAGTTCCGGAACTCAGTCGCACGGCAATCCCATCCTCAACACTCGCAACCTGTGGGAAGGACGCCCTCCTTCGTCTTTACAGCCTCAGGTGTTCCATTCCACATGTTCTCCCTATAGCGCCACTTCCTTCGATTCGTTTCAAACCCTTGCCCCAGAACGGTCTTCGTCTTCAAACACAGGGACTGGACTCCATTTAAACAATAGCAACTGCACACGATGGAATTTGTGTCATAGTGCACAACAACACGGTCATGCAACACATTCAAGCCACTGCCTCAAGTCACTCCCACTACTACATAATAGGCACGCCATGTGCAAAATCTCGATCCCTATAACTGCATGCTCTCATACTTGTAAACCAGCCGAAAGCGCCCCGTCGCAGAGCACCGCTATGAGAAATATAGAACTTCTTCACCCCAACGCAATCCCATCATGCCTTGTTCCTGTCCTAACATAGCGATAAGTCGCTTGTGCTACACCTGGCATCGCCGTGGCCTCTTCTGAGAATCAGACTGACTCGGATTCCTCCTGTACGATATCTTTAACTTTGTCTTCCATCCTGAACTTTTAGTCGCTGCGGGTGTTCCTCTCTCTGTTCTGCCGGCAATAATCAAGCAACCTCTACTTCATTTAACCCATCCAATCTGCAGGCACTACTCCCTTCCATGCGCTCTTGCGACTATCGAGTCTCCTATCGCCCCTGAGAGAAGCCACGCTTCTTGTCGACGCTAACTCATCTGTGTCACTCGCAAGTATCCCAGAGAGTACGACCTACGCGTTTCTGCACCCTTTCCCTTCCCATAGTTACTCCCGTTGTTCATCGTCACATTCACCGCACTCGCACGCACTGAGAAACTCACGAGAAGGCGCACTGTCTGTCCTCTTCATAACTTTTCGAACATCTGCCTTTCACCTTTCCCTCGTCTTCGCTTTCGCGGGAAAGACCTTCGGAGATGGGTCGCACCGATGAGTCCACTCCCATGGAGGGCGTAGAGCTTCCGTCACGCTCGAGCAAGGGTTCATCTCTTCGACGAATGCAGTCAGAATACCATCCGGGAAGCATGAGAGGAGGTGGTCACCGCTCCTCGCACCCTATGACTTCATCGCGACGCGAATCTTCAAGAGGAGGCTTCTGGGACACTGTCATGGACAGAAAGGACGGAGGTAGTGCGCAGCTTGGCTCAGGCTCATCATTCCACATGTCAGGGAATTCATCGCCCCCTTCGCATATACACCCAGCGCAGTCTTTTCATGTTGGTTCCTCGGCGAGTAGTCGGGTTTCCTCAAGACATTCTGCGCCAAAGCGTTTCGCATGCACACAATGCAACTCTACGTACGGCAGTCCCAAGGAGCTTCAGATGCACATGATTCAGATGCACACGAAGAAAACCCATGAGTCTGATCGGCCGTACACCTGCGAGGTCTGCAAGAACAAGTTTTCACAAAAAAGTCACCTCAATCAACACAGGCGAACAGTCCACGAAAAAGTGCGACCACACGTCTGTGATCTTTGTCCCAAAGCGTTCGGCAAGAAATACGACCTCGCCTCCCATAGAGACGCAGTACATGCGAATGAGCGACGTCACCAATGTGATTTTTGTGACAAGAAATTCGCAAAAAGGTCAAATTTGACACGACACAAGGAGAAACTCCATAAGAATGGGACTTACTCACGAAAGTAACCAGTACACAAGAGCCCCTCTTTTCTCTCCTGTCCAGGGTTTTTACTATTGAGTGATCTTTCCAAAACCGTAGTCTTGGGCAAATCAACTTCCTTCTTGCCCGCCACTTGGACAGGTGGGCAGCCATTGCGAAAGCGAAGTGATATTTTCGGAGGCGAAACTTTCTTGTCAATACATGCGGTGAACAAGCCACCCATCTACGACTACAGTACATGCCCCCAAGTAACTGCTGAAAGATGAATGCGAAGATGACACGCAAACCGGGAAGCAACTTCAAAAAGCGATTGAGGAAACTTGGTGTAACAGAATAAACATAGAAAAGCGTAGTTGGAATAGGCATGTCTACCAGTTTTCGAATGAAAGAGCTTCCCATCCCTGCGGTGCGACAATTTCAAAGAAACTGTCAGAGGGGGGAAGATCAGGTGCCCTTGCAGTTATTATGTTGGCTGAACACTATGTATCTTGAACGGACACGAACGTTTCTGTTTTGATGGCGTAGAGTCTGCGGGTTTGTGGGTTTCCGCGGTGTCATCGAAACGCGGCAAGCTGCGTGTTGAAAATGTATGTGGAAAAAGTAACGCGAAGGAATGCCGTGACACGTGTCCTGGAGATGTGTGTTTCAATCCATTCTGCTGTTTCGGAATTTTTGGTGCGCAACTCCTGCGTACCAGTATCCTCTGTACTGTACTTTGAATGAATGGCCCTGGCATGTATCGTGAAGTTCCGTCATTGTACAACCGAACATACTCGGGCTATGGAGCACTCTTCGCCGCGTACTCTGCAATGAAGCAAAGCGATATGATATCAAAGCTTGCTCCGCTGTTGTGGAGTGTGCTGATAAGCAATGTCGTGAGACACAAAAAAATGCGCCATTTTCGTACTCTCTGACTCTTTCATGTTCGCGTTGATGGACACAGAATGCATCACTATGAAATACATGTCATACTGAATGAAAAACCTTCTCGTCCCACCTGGTGCGCAAACTTCACGGCAAATCAACAGCTCGTATTGTACTTTTGGTAAACGTTCACAGCCTCACGCGACTACACGATTCCAACTGACAACGTGTACCAATAGGGCACTCCTGCTGACAAGACTGCATTCCACTAGACCAGTGATTCTGAAACTCGGATCAAGCCTAGCAGAACAAAACCTTTCGTCCTCCGACGGAAAGTTGTTGGGCGCTGTTGATACTGCGTCGCCCTGTTCCGTTTATTTCAATTGTGCGCAGGTTGTATTTCGTCGAGACTGTCATTTCAGTAGTGGAATGAGGTGATCGAAGTTACACAGACGTGCGAGCAACCGCTCCTTTTACACGCTCAACAGCGCGCCACCCACCTCGGGGTGGATGTCAACCGTGACTGCACAATCATAGCTTCTTTGATATGATTGATGAAACTGTGGGAGAGCGAGTTGATGGGGTTAGATGGTAGCCACGCTCGTCGTGTGCAGTGGCGGGGAAGGGAATGCTGACTTACGCCAGAAGTATATTTGTTGGATATCTGCGCGTCACCTCCAACACGGCAAAGGGCTTGCATTCTTGATTTTCTCACATGGAGCAGTTTTACACTCTCACCGTCTCGTATGTCGATCAAATCTCAACACCTCGATATGTCTATTTTTGTGATGGAATGAACGAGAAACTTGTAGGGCAAATGGTTTCAATGAGAGAGGCACCAACTCTTGGCAAGCTCTCGCCTCATTGTTGCACCGCGGACCTCCTCCGCTTGACAAAGGGACCTGTCTGTGCTTCAGGTGGGCCGAGAACATACAAATGAGGCTGCTCTGCACGTGTCCCCCCATATACTACGACGCGAACTTTCAATCAGAAACATTTCATGCGCGACCAAAATGTTACACACCGGTTCGCAACGCACTTCTCTCATTTTGTGAGTGTTTGAGGTACAGTCCATCCTTGTTACATTCCGTGCCTGCTAAATCCATGAATACTGATTTGACTCACTGACCATATTTTTAGACTGTACATGAAAAGTCTTGGCTGGTATTATGAACGAGTCTATGCATCATGGAAATCATGACTATGGAGGTGTTTCTTAATATTTTCCGTGAGACGCTGCTGATCAGATAAACTGGAACGTTTGCATCATCATAAACGTTCCATGCCTCAACAAGAAGAATATCTCGAACACTACTCGACACTCAACGACCTCGATCAGTTTTTGTTGAATGCTGTAACTTGAAGGGGTAATGATTGCCTTTCGTTGAGCCAACTGCCACTTGAGACTGTGATCGACCGTACTAGCACAAATTCGTCCATTCAAAAGTGCCCCTGGCGAGTGGAAGTACGTCAGGAACCACCCCGGGATAGGCCTGGAAGTTACTTGAAGCCATTAATTTCCGCTTGACAAAGTTTCTTTGTGTAGAATATGCAAACTTAGCACTGGCGCTGCTTGCATTACGCAAGAAAATAACCCTTATCACAGAAGTAAACTCATACATGTTTAGTTTATCCTTCTGTGATGCCGTATATTCAAAAGCGCATTTACAGAGTCTCGGTAGTTGGTAGGAGCTTCTCGTTGAACGCGATGACAAATCAGGATGCTCGATGCAGATAAGTAATAACATCCCCAGGCCATGCGTGTCGACCAAGCACAATATCTACATGCCCCAGTGAACAGAAAAATGGACATGTGCGTAGGGGCGAATCAACTTGAAGTGTCTTCACTATGGCGATACAGTGGACCAAATTACAGTTCCTCCAAATCGAAGGGGCTTCACCGATGGAAAGAAATGATAAAGCGAGAGGCAAGTCTTGAGGGTGACCGACCTTTAAACTTGAACTAGGAAGAAATACTTGAGAGTGGGTGCCTTTCGTCAGTCGTCGATTTATCAATTGCGTCAATGTCTCGGTATTTGGACACTAATGCTGGAGGTTCTGTGGTGTGGACCTCGTTTTGTTCCAGAACTTCTGGTGGGTGATACGCAATTACGAGAAGGTGCGTATGCTGTCTTATATTTAAACGGCGGTTTGAGGCTCGTCTATAATTCCTCTCCCGCACATTACTTCGAGAATCCACCCTTCTCAAACTACTGCCAGCCTTCAGGTTTAGGGAAATCCAGTGCAGACTGTGTAATAATAGGAAAAAGGAGTGGCACGAGACATGACAAGAACACAGGAGATTTGATTGCGTTTTGGAAGGGCCGCGTCCAGTATCTCGAAAAGACTTACAAATGGCCTCGATTAACTTCGATTCTAGTACACCACGACACTGTACTACCATGAAGATGAACTCTGATGCAATGACAGTTGTCCCTCAACAAGATGCTTGTATTCAGAGGCTTTATCGCAGGATTAGTTTTCAACTGAACCTTGTTTCTTGTTGTCACAAAACTATTACCACTTCTGTGATGGTGGTTTGCCCTTAACGGTAGTGCAACTCAGAGGTTTCTTTAGCATCTCTGAGAGAAGGTGAGATGGCATTTTATTCTGAGTGAAATACGTCTCCCTCACATCTTCCCATCTCCTTCTCATCAACATTGACACTGTGACAGCGGGGAGATGCGACTGTTTTGGAAGCAAAAACTCTCGGCGAAACTCATATTGCGCTTGCCCAAACCTATAGACTGATGTCAGTCTATAGAATCGGGACACAACTCTACGTTGTCAACAACGATGTTGACAACGTAGAGTTGTGTCCCGATTTGCATTTTAAACTTAAAAAGAAGATAAACTTAAGTTTAAAATTAAGTATGAGCCACTTCAAACTTGAATAGGAGCTGACTGTCGTTGTAGATAGACTACCCTTCGTAGAAGACTACCCTTGTAGAAGACTACCCCTTCGTAGAAGACTACTCTTCGTAGAAGGGTAAGAGCATCCCTATCTGTTTGGCTAAATTTGATGGCTAAATGTGTAAAATTTTACGTTTGAAGATACCCAAGGGTAGTGTTTCTGTGCGCAACAATATCCGTTTGGGAGTAAATTTGAAATTGATGCTGATTGAGCATTGCGTACGAGGGGTGCAGGGCATCGAGTACGAGAGGTACTGTATTGTGTCCTCTTGTCTTTTGGCCAAGTGGGCGTTATGTAATTCGCGTCTCGGTCAAATGAGCAAATTGTCGCCATCCGGCTTCCCATACAGTATAGAGATAGATATACCCAAGAAGGGCAAAATGTTGCAGATAACCAGCCCGATAGTGTCGGCTCGAGGGCCTCAACCACCGGTGTGCGACTGTCTGTTCAATCATTGCTGAGCGATACAGCGACAGCGCTGACAGTAGTGCGGTAGTCTGCCCTCCAGGGCCCGTCGGCGCCAAGTAACGGTAGTACAGTGTGCGAAACGCAAATAAATACACCCATCGTCGAGCGGGTTTTCGCCAGATGCAGGCCGATAACATAAAGACGCCCACTCTATGACAAAGCAAAACACACGATGAGTCCGATTCTGGGCTCAGATTTGCTCAATCATAAACGCATAGACAGATATCTTCAAAAAAGTATGCGAAACGCAAATAAATACGCGAAACGCTATAGAGTACAGTAGAAGAAATGTCTTTATTCTAGTATTTTGTCGCTCGCCCTTGTCCATCCAGCACTGCAAGCATACGCCGCGGTATGCTACGATAGAGCTTCTGTAGCAATTCGCCACTAATTGTTGCCCATACATCCTCAATCACCTCCTTAAGCTGCTCTATCGTATCGAACTGACGCTGGCGAAGATAGACGCGACGAGCCATGATTCCCCAAATGTTCTCAATAATATTAAGATCAGGAGACTTTGCGGGCCAGTCCATAGTTCTCACACCCTTCTCATTGAGCCAAGAGCGCGTGAATCTCGACCTATGAATAGAAGCTCCATCTTGCTGGTAAACTCAGTTCTCCATTTCCCCATACATCTCTGCGGAAAAAGGCAGTAGGGCCTTGTCCAGGGTTTCGCAGTACTTACCCGAATTTTGATTTCCATTTAAAAACACCAAAGGGGATACCCCGTAAGGAGAAATGGCTCCCCAAACCATAACTGTAGCTCCTCCATTTTGCCTCTTAGAAAAAAACCTTTCATCTTTGCGCAAATCATGCCAATAGCAGGCATTTCCATCCGGTCCGTCGAGGTTGAACTTTTTCTCATCGCTGAAGATGACTTTGTTCCAAAAAAAGCCCCCCTTGCTTATAAAACGGCGCACCCATTTGAGCCTTTTTTCGCGGTGCAGAGAAGTCATCATTGGGGCGGTCTTCATTTTTCTATACTTTAGATGTGGCGTTGCGCTTAAAATTTGTTGAATTCTGCGGACTCCTACCGGCAAGTTGAGGTCTTGTTTTATGTCTCGAGCTGAATAGTTTCCCGTGGTTGCCTTTCGAATCATAGCCTTTTCTTCCCGGACAGTCAACTTTTGACCAGTTACATGCGCCCGAGACCGTGCAGTGCGACTGGGATTCTTTAAAAAGCGCTGCACAGCTCCTACGGACCTTCCCAATTCTTTCGATATGTCCCGTAAGGACATAAGCTGATGATGCAGGGCAAGGATCTGGCCCTTCTCGAGGTCGGTGAGCGGCGGGCCTCTTGGCATTTTTAATGCTAGTTGATAGTGGACGATGAGGTAGGAAGACGTCAAGTGCCAGTCGGTATAGTACTGTGTCCTTTATTGTTTTGAAATGAAGACTACACGCCAGTTGCCCGCACTTTTCGATACTGTATTCTATGGCGTTTCGCGTTTTTATTTGCGTTTCGCATGCGTTTTTATATATAGCGGTCGATGCGTTTATAATTGAGCCAATCTGAGCCCAGAATCGGACTCGTCGTGTGTTTTGCGTTGTCATGGAGTGGGCGTTTTTATGTTTTCCGCCTGCAAATGGCGAAAACCCACTCGACGATGGGTGTATTTATTTGCGTTTCGCACACTGTATAAGGCAGCACCCCGAGCACCTGCTCTC